GGAACTTAAAGCCTTTGGAGCTATCTCCACCTTTCCCCCGAGGTTCCCTGTCACTCTTAGGCTTTCTTGCAGGCTTTAAAGTGCCAGGTGAATCCTGGGCCTTGGTGCCTGTCTGTGCCGTGGCCACGTCTGCTCATCTGTCTCTGCCATACCCTCTCTTGAATCTACACCCCCTCTCCTTCCCCTCTGCCTTAGTCCAGACCCCACGTTGTAGGAGCCTTCCACTGCTCTCCCTCCCGGTGTGCCGTCTCTAATCCAGCCTCTACAGAGCTTCCACATCTTTCTGAAATGAACGTTTGGTTGTGCCTCTCCTGTGATGGTTCCCCTGCTAAGAGTCCTTAGCAGGGCATTTGAAACTCTCACCTTCAGACTCCTCCCCAGTTCTCTCTCCTGCTTTCCCTCTAGGCTTCCTAAACTAAGCTCAGTATAGGATCCAAATGATAATAAACCTAAACTCAGGCCAAGATGGTTTCATTCAGACTTTTTCTTTGTCTCCCTATATAGTTTCTTTGGAGGGAGGAACATTTATCGAGCATTTACTGTATGCCCAGAGAATTATCTCCACTTTACAGATGAGAATCTGAAATTACAAAATTACAAAAGGAGCATATAGCTAGTCAGCAGATTTGGGAAATCTGACTACAGAGCTCTCACCATGACCACATACAGGAAGCCCCTTCTACCCTCAGTGAAGCCCCCCTCTTCCTGCCAGCTTAGCTTCTTCTTGGAAGCCTGCCATGACACACACCCCCTGTTATTTGGCCTCTTAGCACTAAAGGGCCCCTGCATGTTATAGCTGGTCCCCTTCCTCAGTGGCATCCAAACCTGCCGCACATCAGAATCACCTGGATGCTTTTCCAAATCAGATGCCCGAGTTCCCTTTCTGCGGGTTGTGATTCAGGAGACCTGGTAGAGAAGGAGGGAAGGGCAGGGGCTCTGTGTGAGAAGAGGCTCCCCAGCGATTCTGTCGCACGATAGTCTTGGGAGCCACTGATGGATGCCTCCTCTCTGATTTCCCATCCAGTGCAGAGGGGCCCTTAGTGAGCCCCTGGATGCCTTGCTGAGTGAGGTTTGTGACTGCAGCACCTGGCATGCTTCAGGATGTCTCAAAGACCCCCTTTCACCAGTTTTTGCTATTAACCAAGTTCTGCAGGATGGTCAAAGTCACCTGATTAATTTCATCTAGTTAATTTTATTAATCTTGATGGAGCAGGAGACTCAGAAGAATTAACCTAAACTCTGTTAACTAATAATTGAGAGAACTTTCCTTCTTCTCGACAACATGGCACTGTTTGCTGGAATTTATGGTCCAAGTGTCTTGATTTTGTCCCTTGCAAATTAAGAGCCTCTGGATTAATTACATTCTTCTTTATTCCTCTGTTTATCTTACGGTGCTGCTTTGGGAGCATTAGCTGTGACATACTCTCTTATTTACTCCTATGAGAATATGGTAGAATATGACAGCCCTATGAGAGGATTAGAATTGCCCTAGACAGCGCCTAGACATTGTCCTTCAGTTGGTGATACTGACCGATAGTGCCCTAGCTTTCTGCTGCCTACTGAAGGTTATATGGTCTGTCTGTCCCTCAGATCAGACTGGGCAAATGCATGGCCGTATGCCAACAGGTTCCAGTCTGAGCTTTTCCTCCCTGAATCTAGACACACCTCAGAGTGCCTCAAGACAGTGTTCCCACCCACCACCACTTTTGGTGGAAGAGAGCATCTGTTTATCATCCCAGCTCTTTATGTTCCAGAGCTCATCATTGGATCAGCCCAGGCCAGTGGTTGGCAAACTGCAGCTCGGCAAACCACGGCTCGTGAGCCACATGCGGCTCTTTGGCCCCTTCAGTGTGGCTCTTCCACAAAATACCAGCTCTTCCACAAAAATACCAACTTCTGCGCATGGGCCACGAAGTTTCAATCGCACTGTACGTGCGCGCCCGCAGGTGGTATTTTGTGGAAGGGTCACACTGAAGGGGGCCACATGTGGCTCGCGAGCCGCAGTGTGCCGACCACGGGCCCAGGCTATCCAAGGCCCTGTGCCTGGACAGCAGTTTGGTTTCTTGTGGATGCTTTGATATCAGAAATGGTTATACTAATGGTTTTTTTTTTCCTATTCTTAAAATGATAACCTTTATTGATCACTTACATTGTGTCAAGAACTGTGCTAAGTGCTTTAAATGAATTAACTAACTCAATCCACGCAAAACCTTAGGAAGTAGGTACTATTGTCACCCCCATTTCACAGATGAGGAATTGAGGCTCAGAGAAGTTCAGTTGCCCAAGACCACACGGCTGGTAAGTGGTGGAGTCAGAATCACATCCAGGCAGGCGCTCCCAGCCTCTGCTCTCAGCCATGAATCCTGTAACTGACCATTTTCTTTTTGGTGTTGGCCACAGAAAGCTACTCGCCAAATTTCCCTGATGCTAAAGGGGAAGGTTGGCCTTTTTCCTTTCCTTTTCCTGCCTTCATTTCTCCTCCTGCCAGTATGGCAGAGCTGGACTCTCCACCCGGTGCTCCGAGTGATGGGAGTATGTGCCAGGTCTTTAAACACAGGTGTTAATTGCAGAAATTAATTGGTAACATAGCAGCTGTTCAGAAAGCCTCATCTTCCCTATCTTCAGTAATTACCTATTAAAAATTTAGCCTCCACAAAATTATCTCAGCCTTTGTTGAATCTTTTTATGTTTTCACCCTGATTGAATGACCTCTTGGGCTACCCCATGACTTCAGAAAACATTCCAAATGTCAGCGTTCTGCTGAAATTCAGCCCTCTTCTTCCTTGGTGAGCATATGTTCAACCAGAAGAGCGGGGTTTGGGGTTTTAGGTCTGAGTTCAAGTTTTGACTCTGTCACTTTCAAATTTCTGGATTACTGCTTTCCATTCTAATCTTGATTTCCTCATCTGTGAAATGGGCGGTTTCTTAAGATAAAATAAGATAAAAATGTGACAGTACCTCATAATCTGCTGTTAGGAATTATACTAGATTTTTTTCTGATGCTTGATCACTAAATAGTGTAACCTTTTGAATAATCTACTCCAGTGAAGGATATACCAGTCCATTGCCTGTCTCTGGACCATCCTCTACAACAGGGGTCCTCAAACTACGGCCCGCGGGCCACATGCAAATACAAATAATGTATTTGTTCCCGTTTTGTTTTTTTTATTCCAAAATAAGAGATGTGCAGTGTGCATAGGAATTTGTTCATAGGTTTTTTTTTTAAACTGTAGTCCGGCCCTCCAACGGTCTGAGGGACAGTGAACTGTGGCCTCCTGTTTAAATGTTAAACAGGACCCCTGCTCTACAATGTTATGCCAGCCATTCAGTCATTCATTCACTTAATTGACAAAATTTATTGAGCTCCACTATGGGTCAGCCACCCAGTCCTCCTGTCTTTGGAGAGTCTCATAATTGGTGAGTACAGATGAGCATGGCCAGAGGGTACAGTGTGAGAGTTGGGAGGAGATGAGGTTGACAGTCTGTGGGTCTTCCGGCAGTGGGAAGTGGCCGTCAGACCTAGGGTTGTGGGATCGTCATTTTCGGGTTGGGGACTATGATGGAGGATGAGCAGGAAGCAGGGAGACAGGCTGAGGTTGCAGCTTTCTGCCTTTGAGTGTATTCCAGCTGGACTTGCCCTCTCCCTGCTCTTGGAGAAGAGGACAGGCCCGGTCCCCCTGCAGCTGGAGGAGCCAGTTCACCAAGCTCTCCCTCCGTGGGCAGCGCTCTGTAGGCTGAGGTGACCTGGTGCTGTTAAGGTTCATGTCCCAGAAGGTATTTGTAAGTTCAAAGCAGAGTTCAGCCTTGGCTCTGCCTCCTCAGGGAGGAGGGAGGCCCTGGGTTGAGCTGAGCTACCAGACCCGCTTCTGGAAAGGAGGCGTGCACAGCAGGAGATTTAAAAATCTGCCTTGCAGATGCAGCTGGGGCGCAGGTATTATGGTCTTGTAAAACCTGGCAGAGCTGGCCCCTCTCATCTTGTCATTCTTTCCTTATTAGTCCAGGCCTCTTCCAGCTCTGACATACAGCTCTCTCGGGGCTAAAGAAGAGAGAGATTTTTGCTGGGAGGAGGCATCTGTTTTCCCTTCCTGGTGTTAGAGAGTTGGTGGGTGCTTATTTGTCTCCCCAGTGTCTCAGGAGGGCCTTTCCTCAAGCTT